GAAGCCGAGTGTTTTAAATTGTGTTGTAGGGTCAGCTGGGGTAATGATAGTTGTAGAGCGCACAGAGCATGCTGTAAAACGTGGCTATGCGCTATATAAATGCAATTATCATTATTATTTTTTTTAAAATTATTATTATTATTATCATTATTATTATTATTATTATTATTATTATTATTATTATTATTATTATTATTATTATTATCATCATCATCATCATCATTATTATTATTATTATTATTATTATTATTATTATTATTATCATCATCATCATCATCATCATCATCATCATCATCATCATCATCATCATTATTATAATAATAATAATAATAACAATTATCATTATTATTATTATTATTATTATTATTATTATTATTATTATTATTATTATTATTATTATTATTATTATTATTATTATTATTATTATTAACTATTATTAAATAAGATGATGATGTGAAATTTGGATTTCCTTTACCAAAAGTAAGGTCTCAACATCAATGGAAAGTAAATTCCTTACTTCTGAATAGATAGTTATTCTATTAACTTCTTCCTTCTTTCCCTTTCCCAAATCTTCTTCGCTTCAGAATCTCAGTTTGTGCACCTCAGCAAGCCCCTTAACACCCGTCTCTTCCATAGCATTAGCAGGTCACGTGACCCTTTCAGACTTTAAACCTAAAAACTATTCCCAAATACATGTTCTATAAGCTGTTGAAAACGTCGTCCTGTCCTTACTAGCACACCCCTCCCCCCCCAAAAAAAAAAAGAAAAGAAAAAAAAAGAAAAAAGAAAAAAAGACCTAGTTGGGTTTTTTTTTCATTTTCCATTTTTTGAAACAAGATGTATCAAAAACCGTCACTCGTGACTTAACTTTAAAACACTAAATGTGTTAGACAGCGGTGCGTGATCGTCCTTCCAAAGTGATCTCTTCCAAATTTGCATAACGTTCATGCGCCCTTGATTTTTCTTACTACTGTCCGCGTAGCACTTTTTCACACTATGTCTCTATGTGTGAGTAAAGTGTACCTGATGTAACATTCCTGGCGAATCGTTGGACATTTTTCTGTAACGCTTGGAAATGGTAGTACATTTCTGGTTACATAGCATCCCCCCACCCCTTTTTTTTTTGCAAGAAGTTTAGCACCATGTCTCGATGTGTGAGTACTTCTATCATTATCAAACTGTGGTTTATGTAGAATTCCTGTTGAATCATTGGACCTTTGAGGTATGTAAATCTTAAACAATGTTCTGTAAGAGGTAAGGCATACTAAATCCATTGTTAAGCAAAGCTAACCAGTTAGTCAATCGCACTAGTATAGGTGTAAATTTATTTGAATAGACCTTTGAAAACGACCAAAGCATTGGAGAAAAGGGGTTACAAATGTAGCGGCAATTGAGGTAAACTTTTGCCCGTTGTACGTCAACGATACTATTTTCAGGGGAGACTACAGACGTTCGTGGGTCTGGGAATCTCCAAAACGGGCAAAATAAAAGGAACTGTACGGACTCAGTGGTGAAAGGCGTGACTGAAGTGCAGCAGTGCTGTTTGCCAGAAGGCTATATCAGCCATCGAGGCGGATTTCAAAGCATTTTCCAGACAGAAGAGTTGTAAATAATTCATAAAGATGGTTTTTACGTGTTGCTTTTTGTTGCTGTTATTCTTATTTTCAGTCTAATACTACAATAAGTGCTTGAGTGATATCTTTTTTAAAGCCAGTTTGTCTTGTTTCGTCATTTTATTTTATTTTATTTTATAAGACTTTTTTCCCAAGATGGCTATATTTAGTCTTGATCTAAGCTTGCTCCGTCGTTCGCGCGTCGCGGTTCCACATTGAAATTATCAAACGCAAGATGCTATTTATTGAGAGTGTCGTACCCAAGACGTACTGGTGAAGGAGGGACAATGCCGAATCTTTGAAGACGTGGAGGGGAAAGATTTCCGATCAACAGCACACTACCATAAGCAAAACGCTATGTCACATTTCGAACCATCAAACACAAATCAGAAACATGAATTTACTTAGTTCATTGTATGCCCGTTTTTGCTTGCCACTGTAAAACCCTGCTGAATAAAATAAAATGTAGAAAAATACAATACTATGGGCAATTAAAAAGTGCTTGAAGAAAAGATGTGGGGCAGGAGAGCCAGAGAAAGGCAAAGAATAAAATGGTTAGACAGAATAAGAACATAGACTGGCCTGGATATGCCAGAATGTGCAACGGCAGTTCGCGACCGTGAAGCATGGAGAGTCATTACACGTCAAACTCTGAGTCAGAGATGATACGTCCAGGTATCAAAGTATTGTAAAACAGAAATGAAAACAAAAGTCTGAATGAATAACGAAGCAATGCATCCTTTTCAAAGCGCCCCAAACAATGTGTCTTCGAGCGCTGTCGAATGACCAGAACAAGCATCCTCAATGAGTTAAGCAATCAACATCTTATTAGATTTTGTTTTGATCAGATCCCCAATAAGGATGCCGTCACATCTGTTTACTCAAATATCTTTCCAGTGAAAAACTCATAAAAGCGACAGTACATGAGTCAAAAGTACAGAACAATTTTATTTGTGAACTTGTTGGAGCGTGCCACTGGACGGTCCTACTTCTACTTCTTTTCTTTCCCCGCAGTTTTTTCTGTCTGTCTCTCTTTGCTTCTTCTTTAACTCTAACTAGTATTGTGTCAATGAGCTTCTCTTCACTCAAACTCAGACTCGAGCCTCTTGGCGGAATCTGGCACATGAGATGGTGTTGCCTATACGTTCTTAAACTAGTTCTGAGCTTCTACGGTGTAGCACGCGTTGAAAAGAACAGATCTATTTATGGAAATCAATATTACGTTGTCATCGTCGCTGGTGACAGCATGTATTATTAATAGCACGTGGACTGTTGGGGGCACCCTTTTCAGGAGTGACGTGTTTTATAGACCCTACACCATCCTCTGTAGAACGATGGACACTAATTACCGGAATACTACGCACAAAGGTGAGGGTCAGAGAGATGACTCTAGGTATTTTGGCAAAGCAGTATTGATTTACAAAATGGGATTTGCTTTCATAGTGCGAGACTCTGAAAGCTTTTTTTTTTCTCGCGGTTCTGTTATACTCCTATGCCCATTTAAGACGCGAATGTAAACAGAACTCCTCAAATGTCTCCCCAAAGCCTCTCCTCCTCTGATAACTCTTTCGTTTTTTTTCTCGGTTTTTATCTACGTTCCCGCCCCCTCGCTCGCATGCACGGCCACAAACACGCGCCAACGCAGGCAGGCTATTCAGAAAAGAAGGGAAGAATAGATGTGAGAGACAAGAAGGGTACATGATCGATGGAGCTGGATAGTTGAAGAAGAAGGCAGGCGAGATGACCACAAAAGAGTATATGAGGCAACGTTTGTTTGTTTTTGTTGGGGTTTTTTGTTTGGAGGTGGGGGTGGTTGGGGTTGATATTTTTTAAAGTATTCATTACTTATTTTTAAAAAAAAGGAAAAAAAAACCTGTAGAGAGCATGTCAAAAGGTCAGATCATCCCTGTTAGTTGCGTATATTTCCGGTAGGATTGGTACTGAAAAGAGACGTCCTTTGCGTCACGTTTTTTAAACCTACATTAGAAGCATAAGTCACTCCTTACAACGCTCTCATTTTAGAACAATAGCGCCAACATGCTCGTTTGCACGTGCACACACACGCACACACACACACACACACACACAGACACACATACACACACACACACACACACACACACAAACACACACACATACACATACACTCACATATCATCATATAGACACAAACACCAGATACACACACACATACACAAACTCTCTCTC